TAAATCATATAAACTCGAATTTTCACCATAGAAGAACTATTTTTATGATTGCACTTTTTTGACAGATAAAAAGATTGCCGCAATTTTCCGCCGTAACGACACTAGCGAACCTAGCGGATTTTGGCTAGGAAGTACGATCGGTTTTGGTATGTTTTTTTCAGGGAGTTGAAACACCTTTATAGTACGCCGTGGCCTGATTTGACGTAAAAGGAACTAAACTGAACTGTCAGTTCTGTCAGAAATTCCACTGGCGTTCATTTGGGGACTGGCAATATTTATGTTATGTTTGTTTACATTTTATAAACACCTTTATTGCGTTTTTCATTTAATAGTAATAAAGCAATTAGTTATTTTTAGAGAAAATTGGTGGCTTAATTCTTTTTTGTTGGTAAGTACAAATTTATTTACTGTAACTCGTAAAAGTTAATGATTATATTATTATAATTTATTTTATTTCAGGTAATGTTACACAGAAACAAAATTATTTTACATTCGTAATTGTATTCGAAAATTTGAGGAACGTTTTCCAGTTGAATAAATGGAATGTGATTCTTTTTTGTCGTCGTAAACAAATACTTGTTCAAAATTATAAAAAAAAGGAAAAAGCTCTAAAAGGCCCACAGTAATTACAAAAGCTGTTGAAAATGTGCAAATTAACATGGTGCAAATTCCCAATAAATTAGTAAAAAAACAGCACCTCAAACAGGTATGAACGGTGTTTCAAAGACTGACTCTGACGAGTGAAATTCAAAACTTTTTTTTTAGGTTTGTCACTACGAACTAGCCATAAAGTATTGAAAACATTTCTAATATGCATCCCCTATAAAGTTTCAGTACTGCAACAATCAGTTTACCTTAATTTTGTTAAACCTACCTGGAATATTACAGATCGTTCAATTCAAAATCGTTTGTGTGACGTTTATGAACTGGAGCACCTATATTAAATGAAATACAAAATACAACTGAGGAGAAACTGCATAATGTGTTCAAAGAAGAACAATTAATGCTTGTATTAAAGCTGGTGGTAAAGATTTTGAACAGATAGGTACTGTGAATTAGTATCGTTTGTGCACTACCTATTACTACTGAATATGCTTTTAAATAAAATAGTTGTTAATAGGTATGCCTTTATAATTTAAAGTAAGATATGTCAGGTAAAACAAATGTGTTCTTGCTACATTAATAATATTAATAATTTTTTGTATACATATAAGTAACATAATATATCTTGTAAATGGTTTAAACCCTGTAACAAATAAATAATAGGACAAACTTCAAAAAATATTTATTATTTCCCAGTGCCCAGGTACAATTCTAGTAAGTTTTAAATTTGTTTACTTAAACTGCAATAATTGTCAAATACTGTCAATCGTATTTAAAGTTTCAGCTGTAGCTAAATAGCTTAGAGTCAATCTAAAGTAAATAATTTTTAATATTTCATATTTTAATGCAGAACATTTTTTGTCCATAACGTTCTGGTAAAGGTTATTTTTTGTAATAGTAGCAATAACTAGTACGAACCATATTTCAGTTTATCCTTCTTTTCGATGAATACAAACTAGATATAAATAGCTCAGTTTTTAAGGTTATGTTAATTATATCATAATTTTAAAAGTTAGATTATTGCATTTGACTAAATCTAATTAAAATATCAAATTCTAACATTAAAATACAATAATGTAAAGCACCTCTAATTATTAATATTATGATTTCGTGTTGTAATTCTAAGGCCCGTATTTATAAACAAAACTCAGCTGAGTCGGACTTGGGTAAGTCGTCCTTGAACGAACATCGAAGTTCGGTTATATCGTGTGAATTTAGAGATGGGTAGTAACAAATCCGTAAATGTACATAACAATTACATATTTGCTAATATCCATCTCTAAATTCCAGTCAAACACCAGAACCACCTAGAACTTTAGAGACGTTGTAACCGAACTTCGATTTTAGTTCAAGGACGACTTACCCAAGTTCGACTCACGTAAGTTCTGTTTATAAATACGGGCCTAACAGTTACCTAACTAAATTTTGTTCTCATAGTTGCAGACCATAAAAACAGAAGAAGATCTATTTTGTAATAAAACACCTACGGCACTGGCTCACATCTAGGGATTTTCACTTTTATTTTCACCAATCGCTGTCATGACGATTTGGTCACGTGGGTTTTCGGTATTGTTGAAGACCCAGTACTACCGTTAAAAGAATTTTGAAGGAAGATAAACAGTCAATGGGAACAACTGGAAAAATTAAATGTTCCACACCTAGGAAAAACTTCGTCAAAAAATCAACCGCTACGAACCTCCCTGAATATCAATTGAGGGACATTCGAAGAATAATTTACGATTTTCATATAACAGAAAAGTCTCGTGTTACTGTTAAAAGGTTAAATAATAAAATTAAGGAAGATTTAGATATTCACATATCAGAAACTTCATTAAGAAGAGTCCTTAAAAAATTACAATTTAAATGGAGAAAAACCCAAAATAATCGTAGTTTTGGTGGAAAAAATGATAATAAGAACTTTAAGAGTAAAATATTTGAGACAGATAAAATATTTCGGACACAGCGGACATACTTCTTCCAAGAATTGGACAGACGATTCAACAAAAGGTTTGTTTTCTGTTATTTCTGAAGGCCAAAGGCTTATTATATTTCACGGTGGGGGAGAAATAGGTTTTATCAAAAATATTTTGTTGATATTCAAATCAGGGACCAAGTCTGGAGATTATCATTCCGAAATGAATTCGGAAAATTACGGCAAATGGTTAAGAGAGAAGTTAATACCTAATCTTCCTCCTAATTCAGTAATTGTTTGTGATAATGTTAGTTATCACAATGTACAGACAAATCGAGCACCTAATTCCAACTCTTTGAAGAATGATATGATCGAATGGTTGACAAAATACAACATACCTTTTAATCCAATAAGTTTGAAACCAGAGTTATATGAACTGATTAAATCTCATAAGGACCGACATGTAACATACAGTTAGTCCAAAAAGTCTCCGTACACTACCTGCTTTATATAGAATTTTTCTGTTGCATTTAATTTATTAATTGAAACTACGTGAGAATACGCTCTTTTCAATAACTGAAGCATAAGTAACGATTATAAGTTATAATTACAATAAATGGACAATTTTATTTAAAAGAAACATCGGCATTATAAAAATCTATGCAAAATTTATGTCAAAAAAGTCTCCGTACACTCATAATTTTCATTGAAAAAAGCACATTATAATTAGCTGCATTTCATCAAGGCACCTATGGCTCGCCAGCCTAAAAACAAATTAATAATTATCGGCCATAATTTATTATCTGTCATTTGTTGTTGGTAGATTTGCAGTGACGTTTCAAATTAGCATTAAAAATGAGCGAAAGAAATCGTGAAATTGCAATTCCACTTCGAAAGTTGATAGTTGAAAGAAAAAAATCCTTAGAAATATTGGAAAAATTGTTAAGAAGCCGTATACTACCGTTCAGTACATTATAAACCAGTATAAACTAACGGGTTCCTACAAGATTCGACCACGTTCTGGTCGTCCCAAGAAACTGACTCCGCGTGAAGAAGCTAGTATTGTTAGGCAAGTAATTATAAATCCCAAGAAAAGTGCACCAAAACTAAAAGAAGAAATACGAGAGCTATTTTCAAAAAATGTTTGCCCACAAACGGTGAGAAATTGTATACACAGAGCAGGCTATAAGGGGTGTACTGCCAGAAAGAAGCCGTTAATTTCGGAAGTTAATCGAAAAAAACGTTTAGCTTTTGCCACAAAATACGTTAATAAACCTCCTGAATTTTGGGAATCTGTAATATTTAGTGACGAAACTAAAATTAACCTTTTTGGATCTGATGGTAGAGCTAAAGTTTGGAGAAAGAAGAATACCGCCTTTGATATCAAAAACCTCTGTTCCACGGTAAGACACGGGGGTGGCAGTGTTCTGCTATGGTGATGCAAGTCCGCTGGAAGTGTTGGAAATTTACATTTCATTAATGGGATCATGGATCAGCATGCCTATATGAACATTTTGCGAGACAACTTAGTAGAAAGTGTGCAGAAATTAGCGCTCGAAGGAAGATACATTTTCCAACAGGACAATGATCCAAAGCATACTGCAAACTTGGTGCGAGAATGGATGATCCATAACGTGCGACAGCAACTTCACACACCCCCGCAATCACCTGTAGTTAACCCCATTGAACATTTATGGGAGGAACTTAAACGGCGCGTTCGCAAACATAACGTTTCAAGTAAGGAAGAGTTAAAAAACAAAGTGTTGCACGAATGGGAGAACATTCCAGCAAAACTTACTGGAAAGTTGGCTTCAAGTATGACAAAAAGGTTTCAAGATTATCAAGGCCAAGGGCGGTCCAACTAAATATTAGTTTTTACATTTGTTTCCTATCTGTTAAATTATTATTAGAAACTGTTAAGTGTACGGAGACTTTTTTGACATTATTTTTGTATAGATGTTTATATTATTGATGTAATTTTTAAATAAGGATTCGTTTTTGCAATTATTACTAATAATCGTTAAAAGTATGTTTCAATTATCAATAAAAATATGTTCTCATAGAGTTTTGATTAATTAATTGAATACAACAAAAAAGGTCGATGTAAAGAAGGTAGTGTACGGAGACTTTTTGGACTAACTGTATGTAATTGATGATTGTGTCGAGAATACGGCCACACTGCATTACGGTTACCCCCATATTACCCCGACTTGAACCCTATCGAATTGATTTGGGCAACTGTTAAGAATAATGTCAGTCAAAGGAATGTTACCGTTAAATTAGAAGACGTAAAACAATTATCAGAAGAAGAATTTAACAAAATCGGTATTGAAGAATGGAAAAAGAGATGCGATCATGTTATAAAGGTAGAAGATAAATATTTTGAAAGAGAAATACAAACTGATTTATGTTCGGAAATTAAAAATAAAATCGAGAGTGACTTTTAACAAATAAAAATGTAAAATAATTAATATTTAGCACTTACCTCTTGAAGAGAATTCGGTTTCTTCGTGGTTAAATTCAAATACCGTTCTTGGTTCTGGCAAAATTTGGCGGTCTGTTTTTCAAATTTCTTCTTTTCATTTTTGGCCCCACCAATGTATTTCTTTCTGAAATCTTCCAACGGCCTCACGACCGAAGAATTTGCATTTTCCAGCTGAAAGCAATACTTTTGTACAGGGTGTGAGTGAAATGTCACTTGCCAAACAAGAAAAATCAATAAAAATACAATAAAACATAACCGGATAACAACCATTAATGCAATTTGATTTTCAATAATTTACTTGTACAATTGAGAATCCTCTTATGTCCTTACAAAATACCAGATTATTTTACAGTCCGCTGTTGCCACATTATACAATTTTCTGAGAAACGGTTGATTTACTTCGGAAGTGACAGTTATAACACCAAAATTGGGGACGTTGCTACAAGGGAGCAGCTCTATTTTTGGTACAATTTTAGTTAGTTTATGTATTCTATGTAAAAAATCGATTGGTGTAAGAAACAGACAGCTACGATAATAAATAGCAAAAATGTAAAACTTTTTTATTTTATAATAACTGCAAAGAGTTACCTTCTTTTTTTCTAACTTTGGAGCAAGAGGGGACAGCTCCAATTGCTCTTATTATTATTTTTTTTTTTTCAAACAAAGATATATCACCAAGAAAAGTTGTAAGTTACATATGAATAAGTCGCCCTTTGATTAGAATGTTTAATTTTTGTTAAAAGCTGCAATTTTTATAAAACGTTTTTATTGTCCAAAACTAAACAAAAATGGGAGTATCTTCAAGTTTGGAAATGTTTTCGTTATATAGGGTGTTAAAAATTAAATTTTTATCAAGTTATTAAAAAATATATTTTTACTTGTAAGTAGGTATATATTAGGGCTGTTACGGAATAGCTTTTTGACGTATCTAGTACGACCTGTGCCTGTTCCAAGTAGATACCTATTCCAAATACCTATTCCCGTTACAAGCTATTCCAAAATTTTATGACTGAATATTGTTGGCGCTTGGCGCATATTCAGTAGGAAGTAGGTGAATCCCTGAATCTAATGAATCTCATAAGCATAATATATAATATCGATCGATATTGTATTGAACTTAAAGGGTGCTGTTGTTTATTTACATAATATTAATTAAATTATTGTTCATTATGAATAGACGTTCGAGTGTAGTGTGGAATTTTTTTTTCGGTGGTAGATGACAAAAAACTAATTGCAAAATGTGTGCAAAACAGTAATTTCTTATAAAAAAAAACACCTAGGAAAGCACCTTACAGTACAATTTCAATTACTCTGAATAATTTTTAAAATTTCACTAGTTCGTAAATATTCTCCTGTCTTATAAACATATTATAATTCCTAAAAAAAAATACCTACAATCAAGAGAGTTGAAACATCAAACGAAACCTATTACCAAAATACTGAATAGGTACACGAACGTATTACAAGTTGCCTGACTAATCCCATATCATTCCGTTTCAGTTACAACGCGCGATAGCATCCAGTGACACAAGTAATAGGTTTGTGTGAAATTTGGTAACAGGTACGCGGAATAGGCAGGAGATACTTATTCCAAAGTAACAGGTCCAGTTCCATTGTAACAGCCCTAGTATATATAAGATGTACCTATATATCTATACGAAGTCAATTCGAACAGCTAAATAAAAGACTCATGTACCGGGTCTGATAAATGTACTAGTTAATATCATATAAATGTTAGCGGTGTTCCTTTGCTCCCCACCACACATTCTTGAAGTCCATGCACATGCGTGTCAGGATGGACGAGCGGGAGAAGGCAGACCAGCGCAGTGAGTAGTACGCGAATAGACAGAGGCAATACCACAGCAACATTGTAATTGAAAATACTTGATCGTGAATTAAAAAACCATTGAAAAAGCAGTTTAGACATTTTTATTAGGGATGATACATCCCTTGGTTTCTTGCCACTGTACTGTACCTTTTAAAAGTTCAGGATAAGGATCGATACTTGGTGATGCAACACCTCCGTCCGAATCTGGTACAGCGTTGGCGAGACACTATTTGCACAATTTTCGACCTCCATTTTCAGAGATTACTGTTTGACACGGTCTTTTTTATTAGTTCGTATTGTCTGTTCGGCACTGGACACGGTACTATCTCACTTCTGATGTTAATGTAAGGGATAATTAACCCTAATAAAAGTCATTAAACCACCACAACTGTTTATTTATTAGTATTACACTATTCTATATTGTATTGCGTGGCTACGCGGTCGAGCTATGACTCCGACTGCTGCTCCCCTCCGCTGCTCTCCGTTCGTCCGTCCTGACTTGCCAGGAGTATTGACAATTGACAGTGACACGTGGTCAATAATGTTGGGTTACAAGGGGAGTATCACTAACATACATATACAACCTCTCATATAAGGTTGATGATTAGACCTCGTATGAATTTCTTCCTGTATGTCGGCAGTATCTAGTCGAACAAATAATATTGCATGGACACACAAGCACATATGAAGGTCAAAAATGTCATGTCCACTGTAAACACCGTTGTTTGAATTTTCGGGTAAATTGTCAGTGCTGTAGCTTGAGTAAGGATTTATAAAATTAGTTTATTCTGCGTTCTTGGAAATTTTAGTGAGTCTTGCATTTGTGTCGTGTTTTTCTAAATTGTTTTCTTGCGGTTATTATTTAATCAAGATGGCGTTGTGAAGACCTTTTCTTAATGTTTCTGATGTTGAAACGGACAATGTTGAAGGCTTAAATAAAGACTTGCATCCTTAAACCCAAAGACTTATTTTAAATATTTAGACTTGCTTCAAAAGTGAAATTTTAAAAAGGATTTGTGAGCTGACTAAACTTCCTCGTACTACAATTTATACTGTTGTTAGAGCAGAAGATATCATTGATCATTCCGTAAAACGAAAAAGAGATAATCAGAAGCTTAAGAAGGTTGATAATGCCGACAAAGAAGTTATACGCAGAGTTGTACAGAACAAATTGTATGAAGAAAACAAGGTTCCAAATTTAGAAATGTTTATCTAGACACATTGCGTAATATTTTGTTAGATTGTGGCTTCAAGTACAAAAAATTGAATAAAAAAATGGTTATAACTCGCATCGTAGCATGGCGGCAGGAGTATTTACGTAAAGTTAAGCAATACCGCCAATAAAAAAGAGAGATAGTGTACCTTGATGAAACTTGGTTCGACAAACATGGTTGGGTGGATGAAGGTAATAAATGCTCTCTAAAGGGACCTTGTTCTCGCGGTAAACGATTTATCTTTCTACGTGCAGACAGTAATAAAGGTTCTGTTCCTAATGCTTTTCTATTGGCAGCTAAAAATATAAAACAGTCATCTGTTAACTTCCATGAAGATATGACCGCCAGTTTCTTTAAAAAGTGGTTTAATGAACAACTGCTGCCAAATCTTTCACCAAATTATGTTATTGTTATGGACAATGCGCCTTATTATTCCCGTCTACATAACAAAATTCCCAATGGCAGTACAAGGAAGGAAGACATTCTTAAATTAATGGAAAGTAAAAAATATGGAAATTCCTACAAAGGCTACCAAAAAAGTGCTATAAAAAAAAAGAAAACTTTGAAAAAGAATATGTAATCGAGATATGCGAAGACCATGGTCATACTATTCTACGTCTTGCTCCCTATTACTGCGAATTCAATCCGATCGAGATGATTTGGACTGCTGTTAAAAAAAACCTGAGAAAATATAAATAATTTCCAACTGACAGTGCTTCCGTACTAGGAAATAAACGAACGGTTATTAATGAAGTAAACGACAGGGGTAAATGGATGAAATGTGCCCAGCATGTCATAGAAAAGGCGAATGAATATTGCATTTTACCTTCCATTGACCCCATTATTACAACCCTAAATTCAGATTCAAACTCTGAAAATTCAGATAATAACTCTTTTTATTAAATTCTCATGGCTGGACTGGTGTTTTTTTGACATTACTCTATATTTCTAATAAAAAAATATCCGTGTAGGTATATGAAAAATAAAATTATTTTGAAAAAAATTATATCACGCCGCCCATGCTATACAAAGAAGCCGCCGACGGTCGGTAGATATTTAGTTTTTATGCCGTTCGAATTGACTTCGTATAGACTATATCGCAATATATCCCCTGTAGTAATATCACTGGGATTCAAGAAAAGGCTTTGCGTTAGGCTGCGGCCAGGCGCAGAGACACATGGCGCTAGTATCGTCTTGAATTTTGACATGGCTGACATCGGCATGTTCACTGGTTGATGAAGAAGTTTTTGACAAGCGAAACGTGAAGTGTAAGCATTGGCAAGTGATCTTTTTATGATTTTTTTCTGCTACGAAATTTATACCATTTATTAATATTAATTTTGTTTCAGCGATATTTATTTTGATTTGTGTTGTTGTATATTAAATGCTTACTTATTTAATATGGAAAGCAAAACGTACAACAAACTCAGAAAAAGAGGATTCAATTCAAGGAGGTATTCCTATGGTTTGCCATCCAAGGGTCCCCGCCCTACATAATACGGGTCAACTTTCGTTTAGCCGAAATCAGTTACGTAAAAATTGTTGCCATGGTAACCGTTGCTATGGTAACCAGTAAACAAAAACCCAAATCTCGTGGTGAGGAAATGCATAGTTGCCAAGTTATAGATTATTTAATGTTCACTTTAGTTTAGTCGAAATCAGTTATGGTAAAACTGTTGCCATGGAAACGCTTGACATAGTAACAATTAAACAAAAATCCAAATCCCATGGTGAGGAAATGCGTGGTTGCCAAGTTACAGATGATTTAATTTAGCTGTAATCAGTTACGGAGAAACTCTTGCCATGGAGACACTTGTCATGGTAATGACTAAACAAAAACCCAAATCCTGTGGTAAGAAAATGCATAGTTGGCAAGTTACAGGTCATTTAATATTCACTTTAGTTTAGCTGAAATCGGTTATGGAGATGTCGTGTCGACTAAACAAAAACCTAAATCTAGTGGTGATGAAATGCGTAGTTGCCCCTTATATTTGTATTAACTCTTAACACAATATCTTAATCTAAACTAAAGTGAAAATGAAACCATCTATAACTTGGCAACTAGGCATTTTGTCACTACGGGATTTGTTTAGTCATTAGCATGACAAACGTTTTCATGGCAACAGTTTCTCTATAGGATCACGCTATGCTCCTCCCACCCACAACCTAACTACTACAGAGGAAAGCGAGCGAAGCGAGCGCTCCTGGCCGACGTTTCGAAATTCGCGCGTGCGCATTTCCTCACTGCCGGATTTAGATGTTTGTTTAGTCCTTAGCACGATAAGAGTTTCCATGACAACAGTTTTTCCGTAACTGATTTCGGCTAAACTAAAGTGAACATTAAATGATCTATAACTTGGCAACTACGCATTTCCCCTCACGAGATTTGGGTGTTTGTTTAGTCGGTAACATGACAAGCGTGCCCATGGCAACATTTTTTGCATAACGTATTTCAGTTAAATGAAATTAAACAAAAACTGTAATCATCTACAACTTGGTAACTACGCATTTCCTCGCCATAAGATTAGGGTTTTTGTTTACTCATAGCCATCACAATTGTTATTATGACAACAGTTTTTGAATAACAGATTTCGGCTAAACGAAAGTTGAGCCCATAATACTTTTCCAGTGTGAAAAGCCTTTAAAATTCAAGTATAACAATTTTGTTTCAGTTTTTCCTTATTTTAACGTAGGTGCCAATTTTAACGTAAGTTTGTAATAATTTTTCATATTTTTCAGTAAATAACCTCTGATATTATAATTTAACGAAGATCTTATGCTTTCCTATGGACACGATTCCAGGAGGGAGTCCTATGGCTATCATCCAAGCCCTAGATCAGGCCTGCACAACATACGTCTCGCGGGCCGCATGCGGCCCGTCATTGTCGTTTTGGCGGCCCGTTGGCCGTTGACCATTTTGGCCCACCTACGTCAAACTATACATTTTTCAGTAAAATCTGAACAGACCACTGTAGGCTCAGGCCTCTCTTGGCCCTCGTCCACTTACGGTTTCTCAAATTGGCCCTTTTAAAATCCGAATTGTGCAGGCCTGCCCTAGATAATAGTTTTCCAGTGGCAACAGCCTTTAAAATTCAAGTATAATAATTTACTGTTTCAGTTTTTTTCCTTTTTCGAAGTAGGTGTCCATTTAAACTACAAATTTTTAGTTCACTTGTTGATTTTAGCATTTATATACACATGTACAGAATCGGCTATTAAACAATTTCCAATACGCTTTGCTAGCATCAAAGCGAAAACTAAAGAGTTAGCATTAGCGCGACCAGGAAACGAATAATATGAATGTTGCATTGTGTAATGTGTAATATGAACAGGCACACGGCGCGCTACATCCCCATGCAGCCGGCTTGCTACGTTCATAGTATTCCATTCCTTCTCGCGCTAATGCTAACTCTTTGTAGTTTTCACTTGGAGATTAGCAAAACGTATCGTAAAACATTCGATAGCCGACACTGTCTTATCACAAACATCTCTTAATAATGATTTAATTTAATATAGTATTTTTTTTTCTTCAATAAAATGGTTTTGGCTAGAGTTATCCTCGACTTTAAAATAAATTAAATAAGTTTTATAATTTTTCAAATAAAATATTTTATACAATTTGTTTATACCAAGCCAATTTTTTTTTTTTTTCAAATTTAACCTCTATAGGTAAAAAAAATAAGTGATTCAGGTAAAATTGAAAAGTATATTACGTTCTTTTAAATGTATTGTTAATCCAAACGCTGCTCTTATTGTAATAGCTAACAATAAAAGAATTTATATTATTTTTAGCTATCAAAATAAAAATAGCGCCTGGATTTACAGCTCGTTTAATGTAATATACTTCTCAATTATTATTGCCAAATGAATATATTTAAAAATCCCCGCCATTCCGCTGCTGGAAATTTACGATTTTGGCGGGAAATTTAAATTTCGCCTTAAAATTATATTTGAATTTACCTCCATATCGAGTTAGTTGAGCGGCTAGTCGCATTTAGCGCTGCAAACTTAGTGCCATCTCTTTAACAAGTGAGATGAACTACTACAGGAGATATATTGTGATATTGTGTAATATATGTCTAACAACGCTTGCCCGCTACAGGTATTAAATATGAGTTCAGAACGCAGTAGGATTTGGTTATACTTCGATAAAAAAGAATATCGTGTACAATGTAAATTATGTACTTACAATGTCATACACAGAAGTAATATCAGTAATTTGTGGAATCAATTAAAAACCAAAATAAACAGGTATAAATTATACGTTAATCGAATCAAGTTTCAAACGAATATTCGAATACAGAAATCTGAAAAATCCGAGACCTAATTTAAACGTTGGTACGGAGCAGTAGTCACGTACAGTCTGTTCGCTATACTTACGCGGGTTTCGGATTAACAAAATTATGCAAATTAGTCATTGACAACCAGTTCCAATAAACCTCTTCCCAAGAAATTAGGTAAAATTGCCCTAATGGTCAGATTTAAATTAAACCCTCTTATTATACATAGATCATATTTTCTGTGTGAAGTGTAATATAAAATTATTATTAGTTTTATAATAGCCACATTAGACTCCATTAATAAAGAAGTTTAATTCTGCTCTCAATTATACAAAAGATTCTCCATTATTATTTAATTAAAAAGTTGTACATTATTTTTCATTTCATTTGATATTTCCCCAAAGAACAGGTCAAACTTTCGGGTACTTACCTGAAAATTTTTGTTATGAAATTCTTAAAGGCTACCCTGTGTACGCTCGACCTTCACATTGCAACCGCCTCGTGCTCGAGGCGACAGAATTTTAATACCATTTTTTTTGCCACATAAAACTCTACCAATATACCAAATTTCAGCAAAATCGCATATGCCGTTTTAAATTTATATGGGAAAAACGATTTAAAAATTGTAACGTCAAGGCCCTCTGGAGCCTAGTACGTCTGAAATAAATTGTAAATAGTGTGTTTTTAAATAAATAAACTTTAAATAAATTAGACTTTCGTCACATTTTTAATCCGAAACCCGCGTAAGTATAGCGAACAGACTGTATTTTTAAATTTCAATACTAAAATTTTAACAATTTCGTTCAAATTCCTTACCATTCGATCTCGCTCATCTTCAATCTGGTTGATCAAATCCGCAAAATTGCTCAAAGATGCGCATATAACTTGTTCATCATCGGTTTGCGTCCCACCGACGCATTCGAAAGTGAATCCTTTCAGACACTCTGCGAAGGAACGTTGTGCCCTGCCTAATTCTGTAAAAAAAAATCGCATTTTATATCGTTATACGGAATTAGGTTATCTGCGTGAAATTGGCCATACAAGATTCAAAATAACAACCATCTGGTGGATCCCAAAGATCTCTGGACCAACCCCTACTAAAGAGTAATCCACAAAAAATGTTTTTAAAGAATGCCATGACTGACACAGACAGAGATATGAGTCATGTCCATGATAACTACGCTAATTTTACATTTAAAAAGAAGAAGAATCGTACGCTCGACGTACGTGAATTTTTCAAATGTCTAATTTAGAAAAACATTTTGTGGATCACTCCTTATTTTTCCTTCGATTTTTCTTGTATATTAATGATATATTTTCTTATTTTGAGTCATCCAATAATATGTCTATAATATAGTTTTCTATATAAGGGAATAGAAATTGCTATATGAGCCTCTGCATTTTTTTTACATTATATAAATATATAGTTAATAATTGAAGAATATAAAATTATACGAAAACAAGACTCGTGTTCACACTAATTACGATTATCTCGCCTAGACAGATCCGGATTCAAATAAATTTAATTTAAATGATTTTTGTGTTATGTAGGTGTCAATAAGTATATTTTAAAGCTATTTTATATTTTAATACAAACAATTCTATTTCGTCCATAAATTGTTTTATGTTGATTTATAAAATTTTTAATTTTTTAGTAATAATCGTTTCACCAAATGGAAGTTTTTAGTCAATATCTCTGTGAATTATTAGATAGTAGAGGACAGGTTGATGCAGTGTATACCGATTTTTCTAAGGACTGCGATAAAATCAGTCTCAAAATAATTCTGCAAAAGCTTTCTAGTTTAAGTTTTGATAAATCATATCTAACTAAGCGCAAACAATATTTTTGTTATAATGGATTTAATTCTAATCATTTTACTTCAACTAGTGGTGTTCCTCAACAGTCCAATTTAGGGCCACCATTGTTCTTAATATTTATTAACGAATTGTGTGACTCGCTTAAATGCAATAGGTTAATGCAGATGACTTAAAATTATATACCAGTATCTCTAATACAACTGATTCTTTAACATTGCAAAATCAAATTAACCTATTACAGGAATGGTGTCACAGAAATCGCCTCTTTTTAAATATTTCTAAATGTAAAATTGTGACTTATAGACGCAAACACAGGGGCGTGCGGTCCATGGAAGCGGGGGAAGCACCGCTTCCCTACACTTTGAAATTTAAAAATAGATATTTTTAAGTTTACAATGCATAGAAATTAATATTAAATTAGGTACTATATTTTCTCTGAAACATTACGTAAACTTCGTAAATATGCTAATAATTAATTGGTGTGTAAACGCACGCACCACCCATGAGAAAATTAATTGTGTAAACGTACAAACGGTCTGTCGGCGGAAGCGCCTCTTGAAATAACCTGTTCATCTTGTAAGTTATTTCGCTTAGTGTTATTGACCCTGCTTTGCAGCGACAGTTTCAGTCTGTTTGCACACGTGAAATACGGTCGAGAGGCAGCGATTATTACGCCGCCTTACGCTTATTGCAATTCGCACCGCGAATCGACGTGTGAGGAAAATCTTATATTTTAGGTAGATTTCGGTTTGTTTTTCGTAGTTGTTTTTCTTTTTGTAAAATAGAGGAACTATACACTGTACCTGTCAACAATAATAATGTGCGGTAAATTGTATCTGTATTGTGTGCTCTTTATTGAAAAAAAGGATTTTCAAATAGAAATTTTGAAGAGAAAACGGACATTATTAGTTCTAATAGACTAAAGGATCCTATCAATTTAGAGACGAAAGTAGAAAAATCAGCATTGAAATTTACCAGGAATTTTCACGTAGGGTTCTATGAAAAGTATGAATGGTTAACCGGCTGCAAAACTTTGAAGAAATTGTTTTGCTGGCCTTGCCTACTTTTTAATATTGTCGAAAAAACACATTGGAACTCAGTCAGTATTACAGACTTGAATAATTTTCACAAAAGTGTAAAACGACATGTAAATAGCAAATCTCATATAAGTGCTACAATTAAAGAAAAAACATCGGGACCTATCGCATTGAACATAGTTTGGACAATCATTTAAAAATAAGCAACAAAATTCACAATGAAAGGGTAAAAAAAAATAGGGACGTCTTACAACGATTAATAGATGTAACTTGTTTCCTGGGAGAGCATGAACTAAGTTTTAGGGGTCACAATGAAGCAAGTGGATCCGCCAATCGAGGAAATTACATGGACCTTCTAAGTTTTTTAGAAAAATACGATAATACCCTAAAAAATCATTTTATTGATTCGACGACTTTCCGAGGTACCTCAAACAGAATCCAAAATGATTTAATTAAATGCACTGCCGACGTTGTGATGGATCACATTAAAAGTAAAATTAAAAAAGCACCTTTCGTATCAATTGCGCTTGATGAAACCACAGATGTAGCAAACTTAAGTCAATTATCCATTGTTGTGCGATATGTATTGGATGGCATTCCTCAAGAGCGATTCTTAGGATTTTTGGACGTCACTAGCGAACGAACTGCAGATGCATTGTTTAAAATTGTTTGTGACATTATTTCAAGTTTAGAATGTGGTTCTAACCTTGTTGCCCAGAGCTACGATGGTGCTGCCGTAATGGCTGGCCTTCAAGCTTAAGTGAAAGAAAAGTTTAAACATGCAATTTTCGTTCACTGTATAGCACATAGACTTAATTTGGTTTTATCGCGAAGCATGGATAATATGAAAGACTGAAAAGTTTTCTTTTCGACGCTTAGTGGTTTGGCTTCCTTTTTTTAATAGTCACCACCTCTTAAGGGTGATGTCTCGGAAAGGTGTGGGCCGAGGAAATTTTGTTATAGGAAAGACCCATCTTAATTTCATACGAGCAATCACCTCCTGAAATTTGTCGCATGAATTTTTATACACCGTGTATGTTGGAATATTAAGGTGAATGCAGCAGCCTTTATAATTTTCGGACAAGGATATTTCAAAAAGTAATTTTGTTAAAAAATTAAAATTTTGGCAAAATAAATTAAGTAATATTATATGCCTATATTTTAAAGTTTTATGATAATGATAATAAATGCATTCCTCAACAGCACTATTCTTAATATAATCCCGAAATTTAAACTCTTAATGTCTTGGTAATGATTTTTTAAAAATCGCCAAAATTAGTGGCTAAAACGCCTCGTTAAGTGCTGCCTTCTGGTGTAACGCGCTTGTAACTATCGTATCGTACACTCTGTCATTATTCATTTCTTGCAACAATTTACACCAGTTTACACCAGAAGATAGCACTTAACGACGCGTTTTTTGGCGAATTTTATGAAATCATTAACAAGACATTAGGAGCTTAAATTTGTGGATTATATTAAGAATGGTGCTGTCGAGGAATGCATTTATTTTCATTATGATATTTCAAAATTAAAGCCATTTTAGTTTTTTTCGGAAACTGGAAGGAATTAAAACATTAAAATATATGCATATTCTAGATATTATTGCCTAATTTATTTTGCCAAAATTTAAATATTTTCTTGTCCAAAAATTATAAGGGGTGTGATCACCTTAAGATTGAAAGAGAATTAGCTTTAATTAATGAGATACAAAGCATCATAATTGTCGCGTCACAAAAACCACCTGCTGCCAAGAAAAAATGTTGATTCAACAGTATTGTATATTTTGTGTTGTAAAAGAGAAAAAATTAATATTTTGTGTTTTAATAGTTATTTTTTTAATTTAATAATCTATGTGAAAAAAAAATTTATACAGACATTAAAAAATTGTTATACTAATATACCTATTTAATTGTACTTATATTTGTTGTTTCTTTAATACAATAAATACAATTTACCTATCTCCAATTCATCACTTTCCGTATACATATACCTAGGGTCCGATTACAATTAGAAGAACACCGCTACGTCATAACTATTATTTCGAATTTCCAATATACCCGAAATTAGACGATCATATTTTAACAGCGTAATCTACATCCTACAAGTATTAGAAATTAAAAATTTTAAAAAACCGAATTTAAAAACGTGCAGATACCGTCACCACATCTTAACCAAATTTATATGGGACCACCCCCTGAAGTACCCCCTTACTAACAAAAAAAGAATCATATAAATCGGACAAGGTGGTAAAGCATTATCGCTAAATATACATAAAAAATGAAGAGTTTGAGGATTTTTCCATGGGCCCAATTATTAGATTTTGACCAAATTTATATGGGACCATCCCTGAAGTACCCCTTTTTAACAAAAAAAGAATCATTGAAATCGGACACCGTGTTAAAGAATTATCGCTGAACATAAAAAAAAAAATAAAAAAAAAAAATATTGCGACGAATTGAGAACCTCCTCCTTTTTTGAAGTCAGTTAAAAATAGGAGTAAAAGTTTATATAAACATAGGTCCGAAAACGTTACGTTTTCGAGATACAGGGTGTTACAAGTGAAGTCCAGATGGCACGTTTTTGTAAATATTTTCTAAAATTTCTTTAGTAACCGGTTTTCCAAAGTTAAAAAAAAAATTAAATTTCTGATTCTACAGACCTACTAATTATTGTTTACACTTTCGAATAAGGTAACATGCTTTTCTCTTGAAAATGGGGCGTCCTAGCGAGATGCAACAAATGCAGCTTTATTATACAGAAAATATTGGTTTTCCAAATTTTATAGTCAAAAATGTTAAAAACTATCAACAAAAAAAAACTTTTACCCTAATTTACCCACCTAAGAAGATGATCAAAAACTGGGGTTTAGTCCAATAAATGGAGCGTTAAGGTAAGTATTTGTACCAAATTTTACCTAATTATCTTTAAACGTTTAGAAAATGTTTACAAAAGTGTGGTATCAGGACTTCACCTTTAACACCCTGTATCTCGGAAAAGAAACGTTTTCAGACCTATGTTTATATGAACTTTTACTACTATTTTAGGATGAAGATTACGCTGTTAAAATATGACCGTCTAATTTCGGAACACCCTGTATATCATCTATAACTATCAATAAA